AAAGTTTAAGACAGAGGGTTAATACAGAGCCATTTGCCTATGTTATAAAACAGAGAGGTGAGAAGCTCAATGACCGGTGGAACAGACATCAAAAAGTTGTGATCCAGCGAGAACCAGAGCCCATCAACAGCTCCTGATTCGTACGAGGGGGCTTCAAAACGACATTGGAGACAACGGAAAATCCCCCATGAATTTTCTGCAGCCCTGTTGTCCTCCTGGGGTCCAGGAGTCCACAAGGGGAACTGCGGCTCACATCGGTCCTGACCAGAGACTACACTCTTCCTGGGCCCCAGTACCAGTCTGACTCCCTCCATCCCACTGGCAACTCCTTGCGTGTGTGCGTGTGTGCGTGTGTGTGTGTGTGTGTGTGTGGCAGGTTCCAGGCTGCGCAGCCTCCCCAGGGCAGCTCAGGGCTTTGGATATGAGACACCGGGGTGGGGGGACCCGGGAGACCCACTGGCCTGCAAGGCTAGTTTTCAGAAGCTGGTAGAATGTGCCAGACCAGGAGTGAGCCCTGGTGGCTGTGCCCTGGGTCTGGCTCACAGGTAGGTCACAACCTGCAGCCTGGCACTGGCCTGCTCCCCACCCCCGACCCCGGCATCAGTGCCCATACACTCACAGTCACAGGGCTGCCACTGCGCCCGGACAGGAGGACAGAGAGCAGGGACTGTGTCTCGGCACAGCCTCAGCCTTTGCTTGTGTGCTTGTAACGAGAGCCGCTTAATCTGATCAAACAGCGAACGCGGGGAATTTTATCCTGCAGAGATTTCTGAACTGGCATCAGAGGTTTTTTGTCCTTTCCCACTAAACCAAACCTGCACCTCGGGAGTCTGGAGGCCCTCGAGGTAAGGGGTCTATCCAGGGGTCCACAGATTCCCCCAGAACGCCACACACATGCACACACACGTGGGTGCTGCCGACCGCCGTGGGCGACCGTGCACTGTTCGAGCCAACAGGAGTACAGCTCTCGACAGATGCAGAGCGAGGCCAGAATATGGGAGGAAACCACGCCTGGTTTAGGTTTTGTTTTCAGGCAGGTGTTTCTTTCATTTAAATTTGTATTTACTTTATTCTTTTGAAAGACAGAGACAGACACATTTTGCACCTGCTGTTTTACTCCTCAATGCCCGCAACAGCCCAGGCTGGGCCAGGCCAACACTGGAAGCCCAGAACTCCATCTGGGTCTCCCACATGGGTGACAGGGACTCAAGTAGTTGAGTCATCATTGCTTCCTCCCAGGGTGCCTTAGCTGGAAGCTGGAATCAGAAACCGAGTCAGGACTCAGTCATAGGTGTCTTAATCTGTGTGTGTGTATGTGTATGTGTGTGTGTGTGTTTGTGTGTGTTTAAAGATTTATTTAATTTATTTATTCAAAAGGGGGAGACAAAGATATCTTGCATGCATCGGTTCACTCCCCAAACAATAGCCAGGACTGGGCCAGGCCAAAGCCAGGAGCCTGGAACTCCACCCGGGTCCCCGACGTGGGTGCAGGGGCACAAGCACTTGGGCCATCCTCTGCTGCTTTCCTAGGCACACTGGCAGGGAGCTGGATCAGGAGTGGAAGGGCCAGGCCGGTGCTGTGGCTCACTTGGCTAATCCTCCGCCTGCGCACCAGCACCCTGGGTTCTAATCCTGGGTGGGGTGCCGGATTCTGTCCTGGTTGCCCCTCTTCCAGTCCAGCTCTCTGCTGTGGCCCAGGAAGGCAGTGGAGGATGGCCCAAGTGCTTGGGCCCTGCACCCGCACGGGAGACCAGGAGGAAGCACCTGGCTCCTGGCTTCGGATTGGCACAGCGCCGGCCTTAGCAGCCACTAGGGGAGTGAACCAACGTAAAGAAGACCTTTCTCTCTGTCTCTCTCTCACTGTCTATAACTCTCTCTCTCACTGTCTAACTGCCTGGCAAAAAAATAGAAAAAAAAAATTTAAAGATTTATTTAATTTACTTATTCAAAAGGAGAGACAAAGATATCTTGCATGCATCGGTTCACTCCCCAAACAACAGCCAGGACTGGGCCAGGCCAAAGCCAGGAGCCTGGAACTCCATTCGGGTCCCCCACATGGGTGCAGGGGCCCAAGTACTTGGGCCATCCTCTGCTGCTTTCCTAGGCACATTGGCAAGGAGCTGGATCAGGAGTGGAAGGGCCAGGACTTGAACCCATGGCATGTGGATGCTTGCTGTTCCACAATGCCCATCCCCTGTTCAGGCAGGTGCTTCTGAGATGCTGGAATTGGCCTTGAGAGAGAGGCCAGAGCAACAAGGAAGAGACAGCTAGAAACAATGTAAGCACCCAATCTGAGCCTGGGAGGGGCTACGGGGCCTAACACACATTCTGCCCTAGGCACAGGCTGCTCTGCTTTGGGTAGACTGTTTTTTGAAAGTTTTACAATTTATTTATTGTAGAGGCAGACAGAGAAAGAGCCACAAACCAAAGAGACAGAGAACTCCCATCTGCTGGTTCGCTCCCTAAAATGTCCCTAATGGCTGAGGCTGGGCCAGAGCTGAATCTGGGAGCCAGGAACTCCATCCCAATCTCCTTCCTGGGTAGCAGGGACCCAACTACTCCACCCATCCCCACTGCCTCCCCAGGTCGGGGCTGGCAGGAAATGTGGAATCGGAAGCAGAGTGGGAACTTGGACCCAGACACTCTGATGGGTACGCCAGCATCCTCACTGGTGCCACACCAGCTACGCCGATGCATGCCCGCTGAGCTCTTCCGAGGCTGCTGTTGCCGGCCTGGCCATATGTCACGTGTCTGGTCTGGCAGAGGAGTTGCCTGGCTGAGCATTTGTACCTTGTGGGCAGGCGTGTGGAATTCTGGGTGGTGAGTGCCAACAGATTGGAACTCCCAGCACCTGTGTTCCAGGGGAAGGAGCGTCCAGGGGATGGGCAGCACAGGGTGGGGGTGGGGCTATGAAAGGCTGACACACCGGGGCTTCCACTGCAGGGCCACCAAGATTGCCCGGAGGCCACTCTCCAGGCCCGCCCTCTCTGCGAGCCCCACTTGCACACTCTGTGCCCACCAGACCCTTTCACTGCGTCCCTGGCCCTCGCCTGCCTTCGCTTGCCAAGCACTGCTGAGTGCCTGTCTTCCCTGGGAAGATGGCGGCTCCCTGAGCACAAGGATTCGATGGCGCTCCCACACAGCCCTTCCTCCACATCCCTGGCCCTCCGTCCAGTAGCCCCACCCCGGCCCTCCTGGAGGATCCCTGGGCACACACTGGGGGAGCCCCAGGCATCAGGTGCCACCTGTGGGGAGCTCCTGCACATGCGCAGTCTGCCACTGCCCCAGCCCCGCAGTCCCTCTCTTAGTCCTGGTCCCGACATCGGCACTCTCAAGTGATCCTAAGAACTTGCCTCTCTGGCCTCTGTTCCAGCCAATTACCTTCTTGCAAAGCTGCCACGCTCACACATTTGGTGTAGAGGTTAGGACACCTACGTCCCACAGCAGAGTGCCAGGGGTTCAAATCCCAGCTCCGGCTCCCAACCCCAGCTTCTTGCTAACAGCAGACCTGGGAGGTAACCGTGACGTAGTAGGGTTCCTGCTACCCATGGGGGCAGATGTGTACTGAGCTCCTGCCTCTCAGCTTTGGCCAAGCCCCATGCCGGCTGTAGAGGGCATTTGGGGAGTGACTGAAAAGCTGTGTGTGTGTGTGTACGTGTGTGCATGTGTATTCATCTCTCTCCCTCTGTGTCTCCCAAGTAAGATTATCTATATACAAAACCAGCAAAGCAAAACGAAGCTGCTATCGTCTGAAACAAGGTCATTTGGCGGCTTAGACCACATAGGCTGGTAGGAATGATGACTGTCAATTCAGCATCTTTGCAGTTTTACTTCCCGCAACAAACCAAGTCTCAGCCACACCAAACCCACCCCCGCCCCTAACAAACACGAGCCTGCATATGCCCTTTTCTCTTCTGGAATGCCCTCTGCGCCCTCCCCTCCTCCCAGACACTCACCCTTTAAGACCCAGCTCCAGTGGTACCCCCACCGTGGACCAGCCCAGCTGTGTCAGGTACCCGCTGGGGCACGGTTCCCAAGCCACGAGCTAAACCAAACCGATGCTCGCACAGCTCTTTCTCCAAGCCGAGCAAGGAGGGAGCTGGGAGAGGCGAGGCATGGGCTCCGGCTGCCCCCTTGCTAAAATCCCTCAACCACCACACAAGCGAGTCAGCAGTCCTCACTCCAGTCCGTGCCCCCACACACTTGCTAGAGGCCGCTTGGGTTGGCGCTGCTTGCTGCCCTTGGCCGAGGTCGGCGCCCACATGGAGTGGTGTGGGGGGAGCTGGGTGAGCAGCCTCATCTACTAACAACCACAGCCAAGACAGCTTCTAGAATACTCTGCAAGCAGGAAGTATGGTCTAACCGGTCAGAAACAGGGGAAGGCCTGTCCCTAGCCTCCTGCCCTCACCTCTCCCAGCTTGGACATCCAAGACTCAAAGCTCTTGGAGCCCATTGAGTGGAATGTGAACAAAGTCCACACGCTAGAAGAGGGAGGTACTGGGGCTGGCGCTGTGGCACAGTGGGTTAACGCCCTGGCCTGAAGCACCGGCATCCCATATGGGTGCTGGTTCTAGTCCTGGCTGCTCCACTTCTTATCCAGCTCTCTGCTATGGCCTGGGAAAGCAGTAGAAGATGGCCCAAGTCCTTGGGCTCCTGCACCCACATGGGAGACCGGAAGAAGCTCCTGGCTCCTGGCTTTGGATCAGCGCAGCTCCAGCTGTTGCGGCCAATTGGGGAGTGAACCATGAACGGAAGACCCCCCCCCCCCCGCCCCGCCTCTCCTCTCTCTGTGTGGCTCTGACTTTCAAATAAATAAATAAATCTTAAAAAAAAAAAAAAAAAAGAAAGAAAAAGAAAAAGAAAAGGGAGGTACCCATCCCTGGTCCCCACCTGCCTTCTTTCCGCTCCTGGATGCCCCGATGCTCCATGATGCCAGGAGCTGGTGCCCGCTCCCCTGAGCGAAGCTGCTCCCTCCCCAGAGAGGGCCCCCGTCGCCTCACCCTCAGTGCTGGCATCGTCCACCAGGATGATCTCCCGCAGCAAGATGGCAGGGGCGGTGTGCAGCACGCTGTACACGGTCCGCAGCAGCGTGGACCAGGCTTCGTTGTGGAACACGATGATGACGCTGGTGCTGGGCAGGGGCGGGCAGCGCTGAAACTTCTGGTCCACACATCTGGAAAGAGCAAGGTGTGGGCGCACAGCCTGGGGTGTGTGTTCCAGAGGTGGGGAGGGCTCTGTCCAGAGAGCCCCCCCAACCACTCCCTGCTCCTCTTCAATGCCAGCTGCATTCTCTGCCCCCTGTCTCCAGCTCCTCCTACATTTGCACCTGCTCCTAGCCCCTCTACACAGGCCCTAGCCAACTAACCCCTCACCACCGCGCGGGGCTTGGAGCCCAGCGCCCCCAGCCCTGCCCCACGGGCAGCAAGGAGCTCCCAGGGCTGCCTCTTCCTCTGTGACGTGTGCGCTGCAGTGTGATCCAATCCCAGACCCCAGAGGGCTAAGTGCAAAAGGGCAAATCTGACGTCTGAGCAAAGCTGCCACAATTCTCTGACTCACGAAGGGAAGCTTTATAATTACAAAGTCTTCCCTTTATAATGTACAGCTCCTCTCCCAGCCATTTCCTCACTGGCTCCCTGCAAAGTGACACTGCTGTCACAAACCGCCCATTTCCTGCAAAACCTCTTCTCTATCCCCATGCCCGCTGCTGCCCAGGGGTGGGGGAAGGAGTGACCTCAAGGGTTCACGTGGCCCAACACCCCGTGGTGACCTCTCTGCTGCTCCGAGATTCTCCGTGGCCCCCCCGCCAGAGATTCCCCTGTTTCGTCCACTCTCAAGTTGGAAAAGACATAGACCAAGGAGGGAGAGACAAAACCTTTCACCGTGGGCAGGTGCTGTGGCTCAGTGAGCTAAGCTGCCACCTGCAACACCAGCATTCCATATTGGAGTGCCGGTTCGAGTCCCAGCTGCTCCACTTCTGATCCAGCTCCCTGCTAATGCACCTGGGAAAGCAGCCGAAGATGGCCCAAGTGTTTAGGCCCCTGCCACCCACATGGGAGACCCAGAAGAAGCTCCTGGCTCCTGGCTTCTGCCTAACCCCAGCCCCAGCCATTGTGGCCTTTTGGGAGAGTGAACCAGCAGATGGAAGATCTTTCTCCGTCTCTGCCTTTTAAATAAATAAATATTTAGAAAAAAAAAAAAAAAGACAACAGTCTGTGGAGGCCAGTGGGAACACAGCCACGGCCAGGCTCACAGGAGGGGCTACAGCTCAGATACTGAAGTGCTACACTCAAGGCCCAGGACTGAGCACCTGGACAACGTCCCAGCGAGGCTGCAGGGAGGGACCTCAGGACCTTGGGCATGGCCTTGGGCCCACACTGGAGGAGGGGTGGGATGTCCCTGACCTCTAGGGCGCCCCTCCCAGCAGCTCAGACATGGAACCTTGGCTGGTGTCAGTCCCTCTCACCCCTGTGCCTGCAGGGCCTGGCCCCGGGGTTCCGAGTTCTTTCTTCTGGATTTTGTCTCCTTTGCACATCTGCTTCACTCTCCTGGTCTCCCTGGGTGTCTGGCCTGACTGTGTCTTCTCAAACCCCAGTTCCTGGGATCAGGGCAGTTGGTCAGGGAAAGAAGTGAGGGCTTAGGGGCTGGTATTGCAGTGCAGCGCGCTGAGCCGCTCGCTGCCTGCGACACCAGCATCCCACAAGGGTGCCAGCTGGAGTCCTTGGCTGCTCCACTTCCTACCCAGCTCCCTGCTAATGCACCTGGGAGGGCAGTGGGAGACGGCCCAAGTGCTTGGGCCCCTGCACCCACAGGGGAGACCTGGATGGAGTTCCAGGCTCCTGGCTTCGGCCTGGGCCAGCCCCAGCTGTTGCGGCCATTTAGGGAGTGCACCAGCAAATGGAAAATCTGTCTCTGTCTCTCCCTGCCTTTCAAATAAATAAAATAATTTTAAAAAAAGAAAAAAAAAAGGAAAGAAATGAGGGCTTAAAGGAAACCCTTGCCTGAATTCGCAACTCCCTGCGACGCTGTCCCTGGCACCAGGCCCGTGGCCGCAGCCTCACCAGCCACCCAGCTCGAGGACCCTGGCTGCTACTCACTCTGGGGGCCGTGTGTCTGGCCCCAGGGCCCTTTGCAGGGAGATGCGGTCACTGGCGAAGGCATTGAAGCAGTGCTTCTTATAGCCCTCGTCCTTCTCCTGTGTCTCCTGGGGAGTCCACTCGCTCTTCTGAAAGGCCCTGCCGTCCGCCCCGGGGCTCTTGGGGTCCTGCGGTGGCCGCTCCCAGAAAGGCTTCAGCTCGGCGGCGCTGTAGAAGCCGGGCAGGCAGGACTGGTTGGCGGAGGCTTGCGTCTGCTGGGGCTCCGGGGCCCGGATCTGCAGCTTGGGCATTGAATCCCGGAGGTTGTTCACGGCCCCCAGCATGAGGTCCAGCACGTGGCCCTTCTGGCCCACCAGCGACTTGAGCCACGGCTTCTCTGTGGCCTGTTCGCTGCTGCTCATGTCCCTTTGCAGGATGAAGAGGAAGAGGAGGAAGGCGCTGCCCAGCACGGCCAGGCGTAGCGGCATGTGGCGTCTGCGGAACAGCCGCATCCTGCAGGGCCGGCTGCGGGTCCGACCCTGCGGGGGACCCACGTGGTGCACTGGGCCTCAGCCTGAGAAGGGAAGGGGGCGCGAGAGAGAAATGAGCCAGGGCAGGTGCGGGGGGCGGCGTGGGGGCGTTAGGGGCTGGGGCTGCCTGCCTGGTGGAGCTGCTTTGCACGGCTGCCCACTTTCCCGTGCCTGAATCTCCCTCATCCGTAAATCGAGGACGCTGGCCCCAGGGTTTCCTCCCTGCCCTAAGGTTCTGACATCTGGAGGAGCGAGGTAACCGGGGGACACTGAAATTCGACGTTAAAATTCTTTCAGTAAAACAAATTATTTATTCAAGAGACAGAACTCCCATCGGCTGGTGCATTCTTCAAATGTCCACAGAAACTGGGACTGGGCCGGGCTGAAACCAGGAGCCAGAACTCCATCCACGTCTCCTGCATGGGTGGCAGGGGCCCAGTGACTTCAGCCATCACTGCTCTGTCCCGGGTCTGTGTTAGTAGGAAGCTGGAGTCGGAGCCAGCACACTCCCCCATTGCATGCAGGTCTCTCGACTAAATGCCTGCCCCTACAGGGAGATAGTCAATCGACAGAAGCACTTTGGAAAACTACTTGGCACCTAAAAGTAAAAATTTAGATGAAGGCCGGCGCCGCGGCTCAATAGGCTAATCCTCTGCCTAGCGGTGCTGGCACACCAGGTTCTAGTCCCGGTTGGGGCGCCGGATTCTGTCCCGGTTGCCCCTCTTCCAGGCCAGCTCTCTGCTGTGGCCCAGGAGTGCAGTGGAGGATGGCCCAAGTGCTTGGGCCCTGCACCCCATGGGAGACCAGGATAAGCACCTGGCTCCTGCCATCGGATCAGCGCGGTGAGCCGGCCGCAGCGCACCGGCCGTGGCAGCCATTGGAGGGTGAACCAACGGCAAAAGGAAGACCTTTCTCTCTGCTCTCTGTCTCTCTCTCACTGTCCACTCTGTCTGTTAAAAAAAAAAAAAGTTTAGATGAACCAGCATGGGGCCAGCACTGTGGTGTAGTGGGTAAAACCACCACCTGCAGCGCCGGCATCCCATATGGGCACCGGTTCGAGTCCTGGTTGCTCCACTTCCAATCCAGCTCTCTGCTATGGCCCGGGAAAGCAGTGGAAGATGGCCTAAGTGCTTGGGCTCCTGCACCCATGTGAGAGACCCGGAGCAAGCTCTTGGCTTTTGGATCCGGCCATTGCGGCCAACTGGGAAGTGAACCAGTGGATGGAAGATTCTCTCTCTCTCTCTCTCTCTCTGCCTCTCTCTGTGTGTAACTCTGACTTTCAAATAAATAAGTAAATCTTAAAAAAAAAAAAAAAAAAGGCTACCAAGGGAACTAAAGGATAGAGCAGGTGTCTGGGGGTTCCCAGATGCCTGAATTCCATGTTGAAGTGCTTGGGTTCATGTCCACGTCCACTTCTGGCTGCAGCTGCCTGATGACGTACATTCTAGAGAGAGCAGTGATGGCTCAAGTCCTTGGGTCCCTGCCACCCACATGGAGACTTGGATTGTGTTCTGGGTTCCTGGCTTTGGCCTGGCCAAGCCCTGGCTGATGCTGGCATTTGGGGAGTGAAAGAGTGAATGATCTCCCTCTGTATTTGTGCCTTTCAAGTAAAATAAAAATTAAAAAAAAAAGTTATACAACTAAAGGAACACTACAACTGAAGTCTCTGAAGAGGTGGGAGAGACGCTGGATTACAGACGGCTACTTTGGCTGCTGTTAGCCAAACCACACATTGATAGCATACACATCCTGCTCTGTCTCCTTGTATTTAATAAGAGAATTTTTAGAAACATCCAAGACTCCGCGATGACACTGGAAAGATGACCGGGCAGGGGCGTTCACCAGGTTGCACCTGCAGATGTGCGGTCCCAGGCTCGAGGACGTGTGTTGGAAAGCTTTTGGGCCAAATTCGGAAGGACCAGCCTCCTGGGTGAGCGGGAGGTGTTGGCAATCCGAGACCTGGCACCAGGCCCGGTCTGCCCCTTTTAGCCATAGCCACCTACCTCGTTGTATTGCTACAAGGATTAAGTTCCAAGAAGCAATTCATGCAAAGAGCTTTGCGGGCTCTGCACACGGCCAGTTCAAGTTCCCAGAAGGTGTTAGTTCTTATCATTAGTGGTTGAGTAACCTAGGACGACTTACTTAATCCCTCTAAGCCTCAGTTTCCTTACTACAAAGTGGGCGTAACTAATACCTAACTCACATCAGGTAACATGCGTAAAATACTCAGCAGAAGGCCTGGCATATACCAAGCCCTTGATAAAACAGTAGCATTTTTATCCTTCGATGATAAGAAATAAATCCCTGCTCAGCTTCCCATGAGTAACCCTCAGGAACCGGGTCTCATCACCTTTGGTTTTGCTCAAAGGTGACTCTGGTGGAGCTGTTATTCAAATCCACAAGCTCCTGCCTGTGAGAAGCCTGGTGTTGGGGCCACTTAGAACTGGGAACTGCGTGGGGGTTATGATCTCTGTAGGCAGCAGGATTCCCTCCGGGCTGGGGGGACATGCGGTTTCTTTGCTAACATCACACTCAGCAGCATCAAAAACTCACACAAGGGGAATCTCTTGGAGCATCTTTTTGTAGGCACTGCTGTCTAGGAGGTGGGAGAGAAGGCTTGCTCATTCGGCCAACACCTGCTCATGTATCGGACACCTGCCCACCACCAGGTCCTCCGTACGGATGCAGGGATAGAGCGACGAGGAAGCGAACAGGCAGAGTCAGATTTTCAACAGGGATTACCCAGGAAGAAGGCAGCCCGAGAGAGACCCTTGGGAGCTAACAGAGATGGGCGGGAGTGGCATGTGTGTGCATTAGTGTGGCGGGGGGAGCTAGGCTGAGCACTGACGCAGGAGCAGGCGAGGTGGGGCGAGGCGGGGCGAGGAGGGGCGAGGCGGGGCGAGGCGGGGCGAGGCAAGCACATTGCAAGCAGCGCGAATGGTAGGTGCCGAGGCCACAGGTGGACGCGGTGTGGCCAGGCAGAGCCCTGCACACGGTTCGGTACGATGGAGTCAGTCTGATGGGATTAGCGGAAGACGGGCTTGGACAGGTGGTTGAGGCCAGATCATGAGGGCCTTGTTCAGTGTGCCACGGAAGTCAGCCCTGACCTGAGGTATGGGGCGCAACAAAGGATTAGCAGGGGGCAACCTGACAGCGGGTGGCAGGTGCACAGGGCATGCACCTGCTCAGAGGCTGCAGGGCCAGGTAAGATGGGGCCGGGATGTGACTCGGTGCCAGGAAGATGCTCTTGGGGGAGGGGAGGAGACAGTTTACCCTGTTCCGAACACAGAGGGACACGGAGGGGGCATGAGATTCAATTCCTGTCCCCGAAGAATTTTAAGATCTAGTTGGAGAACGAGACCTGGACAGCACCTGTCCCTGCAGGCGACAGGAGCAGGAAGAAGGCCTTTCAGTGAGTAGCCATTTGTCCCTCGAGCACAGACCACATGGCCTATTCCGAAGCTAACAGAATTAAACCTAATATTAGCACAGATGGTGAGGGCCACGCTGAGGAAGGTCAAGAGTGTCCATGAGCTCCGGGAAGGCTTCCAGGAGGAAATGGGGACTCCACATAGAGGCAATTTCCTATCCCAGGGGTCCAGCTCTGCTAGGCCCAGCCCAGAGGGCTCTGCTTGAACTAAATTCATCCATTCTGCTACTGCATCTACTCTGAGCCCAGACCTTGCAGAACAGGGAATGCTTCCCATCTTGCAGCTGGATCTTTTTGATAGTTTCTATCAAAGCCCAGTTAGAAACAAGGCACAGTAACATTGTAGTTACTCGCTATTGCTGTGCTCAGACTCACCGCCTCCAGGAAGGCCCCCCCATTGATTGACTCAGAATTACCCCCCACCCCCGATCACTCCAAACCTAGCACTGGTCTCTCATAGTGGGGGAGGGTGTCTCTCTTTGCTCCTAAATTTCCCCCTGGAGAAAGACACCAGCCGCTCGAAGGAGCTCTTCCCAGGGAAGCTTGCTCTCCCCACCAGCCTGGCCTTTTTTCCTGGAACTTGCAGTTCCCCAGTACAAACCACATCCTGAAATGAAGGAAGACACCCATGATTAGCCTGGGCACTCCCTGTTTTGTTTGCTCAGCGCAGGCAACCAGAAACTGAGGCACAGAAGGAAGACGGAGTCCGTGCTCTGTTAGATGTGAGCCCGGTACAATGGACAGCGGGGCCCTCAAGTTCAGGGCTTCATCTTCCGGCTCCCTGCATGGGCGTCTCGGCCGCCTCCACTCACTAGCTTCCTGCTGATTGTTCTTTCCTACAGCCACCTTCAGGCCTGCAGTCGCCGGCTCACCTCTGCTTTTCTCTTTCCTCTTTCTTTTTTGACAGGCAGTGGACAGTGAGAGAGAGAGGACAGAGAGAAAGGGTCTTCCTTCTGTTGGTTCACCCCACAAATGCCGCTACGGCCGGCGTGCTGTGCCGATCCAAAGCCAGGAGCCAGGTGCTTCCTCCTGGTCTCCCATGGGGTGTGCATGGCCCAAGCACCTGGGCCATCCTCCACGTGCCCTCCCGGCCACAGCAGAGAGCTGGACTGAAGAGGGGCAAACCGGACAGGACCGCGCCCCGACCAGGACTAGAACCTGGAGTACCAGCACCGCAGGCGGAGGATTAGCCTAGTGAGCCGCGGCGCCGACCATGGTTAAGTTTTTATTCCAGTTGTCATTTATACGCATTCAGAGTGTACAGGAAGTCTTAGCGCACCTTGAAGCTTTACTAGTTTCTAACATAAAAACGCTGCAGCATGGAAGAATATAATAGGAAAGTTCTACCCATGTGTCTTGTCTCTTTACTTCGTTTTGTGAATTCTGAACAAATTTATCATTGCAAATGATAAACACTGCCTCATACAAAATGAAAATAAATTTTTTTTATTCAAAAGAGGAGCTTGGGGCTGGCACTATGACGTAGTGGGTAAAGCCCTGCCTGCAGTGCCAGCATCCCACTGGGCTCCAGTTCGAATCCTGCTGCTCCATTTCTGGATTCCAGCTCTCTGCTACAAGCCTGGGAAAGCAGTAGAAGATGGCCCAAGTGCTTGGCCTCTGCACCAGCGTGGGAGCCC